TAAGCAGTGAAATATTTTGATACATTTGAATTGACGTACTCTAAACATGTGATTTTATATGCAATTTTCTTGTTTTTGCAACCAATAAGTTAATTTTCCGTAGTCCATTTTGGTACTTATCACCTGTCATCGGACGAGAAAAACAAACATGTTTGAATTTATCGTCACTGTCGGACGACAACGGCCGATGTCGGTCCGGTGATCGGTTTATGTGTGAGGGCGCTCATATATAGCATTGACACATTAAGTTAAACTTTTGGCAAATAAAATTAATCTTTTGGCAAATAAATTTCATCTTTTGGCAAATAAATTTAATCTTTTGACAAATAAAATTAATCTTTTGGCAAATAAATTTAATCTTTTGGCAAATAAAATTAATCTTTTGGCAAATAAATTGAATATTTTTGCAGTGTTTGAAAAAGTAAAAAATACATTAAAAAACTGCTGTTGCTGTGCTAGGAAAGTATTTTTTTTCTTTTGACGCTTAGCTTGTCTCCGCCAATATCAAGAGTTATAGCCCGAACACAATGAAAACGACGAGCTACAAACCACAGCTGTCAAATTATTTTAACACGTACTCTTATGTAGATAATTATTTTGGGGACGACCGGGCTACGCGACGGCTGTGGTTGTGGCCAGATTAGATTTATTTCTATTTTTCTAAGGTTCTTCCTCTTCTTTTATGTCAAACTCATACAAATTCATGATGTCGCTGCGGCGTTCAAAGAAATCATGTCGCCATCGACAAAGCGTTTAGATAATGAAGATGACAAATTGGAAGCTGTGGTCCGTAGCTCGTCGTTTTCAATGTGTTCAGAACTTTAACCTCCAGGATAGCTGAAAAGTGTTTTTTGGTTTTTCTGTTCTGTTGATTTGACTGCTCACTTTCAAACAGTTCTGTCACAGCATGGTCTCAAATACTCATCAAACTATCTGGCGAATTTTATTTCAACCAAACCACGCATTATGGCCAAATGAGATAAAAAACATCTAAAATGCTACAAATCTTGAACTCCCTTAATATATTTTCAAACGCAGGTGCAAAAAAAAAAGTATTTATGTGCATACTATGTACATTAGGGTGCTCATTGAAAATGTTTTTTTTTGGAAATTTCAAGACCCTATCCCCTAATTTTATTCGTTTTCATGAAAATATTATTGCCTATTTTTATAGATATTTTAAAGGTCATTTAGAGGTCGCGACATGTCCATTTAGGTTAAAAAATACGGTTTTGTAGATTTATGAGTTTTTGAATGACTATTTTTGACTCGATTTCAAAGATCGAATGTCATCTGAGAAGAGGATATATAGGCCTTTAAAATGGTATTTAATAATCTATTTTCGGACTTGGCTTGTTGGGATTTTTTATGGGGTAAATTCAAAAAAAAAAACATATTTCTCTTAATTTTTTAAATTTTGACCATTGATAATTTCCACAATTTTAAGATATGTAGTACTCTCTAAAATTAAATCTATTTTCAAATAAACTGATACCTCAATCGCATTAAAATTGTCGAATTTAGGAGACTTTTAAATACGGCCTTGAATTTATATTGTTTATGTACCGGACTTTCAGATTTTTTGAGCAGTGGGGCTAAGGAGTTCATCAATATTTATTCAAAATTTATATACATATAAAATAGACTGCATCACTCCCCATACAAAAAAAAAACCGGTACCGTTTTTCCATTGGAATTATAAAATCTATTATATTTTAAGACGTCCACCAAAATATTTCGAAAAATATTAAGATTTAAGTGAGCTGGACCGATTTGAAAATACCTCCAAAAATTTAGTTTTTTATGAATAAAAATAGTTTCTTAAAGATTTTTTTTGAAAAAATCCCCTCAAATGACAAACCGGTTTAAGCTTAAAAAATTCGCGTAAAAACATTTTTATAAAATGTAAACAAAATTTAGAACGGAATCGTAATAATGAGATTTTTGATGCTGTTTTTAACTTTTTTCAAAGATTGGTATAAGATTGAATAACTGAGCCTAAACTCTCCCGATTTAGACTTGTGAGATATCATTGGAAAGGTATTTTCTCACCCTTTTTATTTCTTTGCTAATAAACTCATTCAAAGGATGAAAGAGAAAGGTAGGATCAACGAATATCATTCAAAGTTGAATTAAGATGTGTTGGTATTTGAAAAAAAATATATTGGGACACGAATAACTTTTTTTGCACATAAATAGAAATAGTGGGAAAATACCTTTCTAGCGAGATCCCATAAGTCTAAATCATAATAGTTTTGGCCCAGTTATTTAAGTTTTTCGCAAATCAATCTTTGAAAAAAGCAAAAAAACAGCATCAAAAATCTCATTATTACGATTCCGTTGAAAAGATTTTTAAATATTTTTATGCAGAATTTTTAAGCCTAATTTGTTTTGTCATCTGAGGGGATTTTTTTCAAAAAGTTCTTTAAGAAACTATTTTTATTCATAAAAAACTCCATTTTCGGAGGTATTTTCAAATCGGTCCAGCTCGCTTAAATCTTAATATTTTTCCGAAATATTTTGGTGGACGTCTTAAAATATAATAAATTTTGTAATCCCGGCGGAAAACCGCAACTTTTTTTGGTGATGCAGTCTAATATACAATCGTTCTTTAGAAAAGAAGTGGTTTTTCAGGAATTTTTAGGAAAATGGGAGTGGCACCGCCCACTTATATGATATATGCGTATCACAAAAACTACTTGATCGATCTCTACCAAATGTGGTATACACATTGTGCTTAGCCTCCTTAAGTACCGTCTTGAATATTTTTGAAATCCGACAAAACGTAACCCCCCTAAAATATAGCTAGCTTTGTGTTTTTTGTAACGGTAGTTTTGGTGAAGTCAAACTACGTTGGTGAAACGGCCAAAATTTAAAAAATTAAGAGAAATATGGTTTTTTTATTTTATTTTCCCCATAAAAAATCCCAATAAGCCAAGTCCGAAAATAGATTATTAAATACCATTTTAAATGCCTATACATCCTCTTCTCAGATGACATTCGATCTTTGAAATCGAGTCAAAAATAGTCATTCAAAGACTCATAAATCTACAAAACCGTTTTTTTAACCTAAATGGACAGGTCGCGACCTCTAAATGACTTTTAAAATATCTATAAAAATAGGCAATAATATTTCTCATAAAAACGAATAAAATTCCAAAAAAAAAAACTTTTTTGATGAGCACCCTAATGTACATAGTATGCACATAAAGAAATTTGTTTTGTACCTGCGTTTGCAAATATATTAAGGGAGTTCAAGATTTGTAGCATTTTAGATGTTTTTTATCTCATTTGGCCATAATGCGTGGTTTGGTTGAAATATAATGCGCCAGATAGTTTGATGAGTATTTGAGACCATGCTGTGACAGAACTGTTTGAAAGTGAGCAGTCAAATCAACAGAACAGAAAAGCCAAAAAACACTTTTGAGCTATCCTGGAATTTAACTCTTGATATTGGTGCAGTAGAGCTAAGCGTCCAAAGTTAAAAAAAATACTTTCCTAGCACAGCAACAGCAGTTTTTTAATGTATTTTTTACTTTTTCAAACACTGTTTAGTATTATAGTAGAGTTTAATTTTATTTGCCAAAAGATTAAATTTATTTGCCAAAAGATTAATTTTATTTGTCAAAAGACAAATTTATTTGCCAAAAGATTAAATTTATTTGCCAAAAGTTTAACTTAATGTGTGAATGCTATAATCATAAGTGTTTATTCATATCGCCCGCATATAGCTGATATCGGCCGAGCACAATTCGGCCGATGCCGGCTGCAGTGTACGCGTAGCGTTAGAAAAAACTAAGAAGGTGTGTACTGTAATTCTTAACCACATTTTCGTGATTTGCTTTTGATGTTACATAAATTCGTTTCAATAATTTCAAATGGGGCTCTTTGGAGAATTTATTTTTAGCAAAAATTTTAAAAAACAGTAATTTTGTTTACTTGTCGGGCAATATTTTTTGTTTTCATAGAGATATACATTGGACGCTTGGCTAAAAACTTCTGTGGTAAAACTGTCCCTTCTTTGCTATTTAAAATCAAAGAGTAAGCTCCTTCAATAGGGATTTCCAGCAGAAATGATCAACGTCTGGCTATAAAGAGAATCGATGCCCAAATAATTAAAAAGTTATGGGTCTGACCTTTATTAGGATAAGAATAACGTAACTATCTGAGATTGAAATGCTTATAAAAAACAGGGTGCTGTTTAAAAAAAACAACAATATTCTGCTCCGATTCGGCTGGCAGTCACGACTTTGAAAACAGAATTTTGTTCAAAATGCTCATTCCTAAAAAATAATAATTTATTTTCCACAGCTCGCTATAAGTACAAATTTTTCAAACCAGTCGCAGAATAAAGTATTAAAAATGAATTACAGAAACTAAAATCGAAAAACGCTGATGAAGTTACAGATTCCCCAAATTCTGAAACAGTCAAAGGAATGAGAATGAAGAATTATTTTTAAAAGCTTTATGGTGATTTCGTTTTTTCGAAAAAATGTTGCCTTCCCCGGTGCAAAATGTGTTTGATGTTACACAAAACCCTGTAAAAAGCGTGTTTTTGCCTTCTTGTCCTTGTCTAGCTCATATATTTCATAATATTACTGTTTTAAACAACCATCTGGTTTTCAGGGCAACCATCTTCCCTGGCAAAGCTTCACAGGGCATGGAATGTGATTTTTGCCTTTAAAATTGTTAAATTTCTGATGCAATTAGAACGAGATGTTTCTGGATTTCAATAATTCATGTATTTTAATTCTAAGTTACAAGAAAATGTGTGTGTCTCACAAACGAAGGAGAAGGTCAGGTCAAAAGGAAAATAGTGTTCAAGTGACAGTGTGACTAGTGTTACCAGATCCAACTAAATTGTTAGTAAACTACTGCATGGTAGTCTTTGCAAAATCAATACATTCCTACATTCCCCTTCACGTAATTCAAAAATATTTTTCTCAAAATCCATTTAAAAAAGTAAATGTTACTTAAGTAGTTAGTGGTAGTTAGTACTTTTAATTATAACTTGAAGGATCAAATCGAACAGTCTTAGCTCTAATTCGTTCCGACCGGCGAAGTGGGGTGCCCAATGGTTTTATTTCGGTAGTTTGCTCCGGCTGTTGATCCACGCGTTGATGATTGGTAGGAATTTCGTTTTCACCCCTTGAAATTTCGTCCGTTGCTTGCAGGTCAATGTCAACCGGATCGCTTTCTTCCAATCTACTCCTCCCAGTATAAGCGCGTATTTGATCTTGGTGGCGCCTATAAGCCACACCTCCCGATTCGACGACGTACATTCGGTTACCCTGCACTTTGCTAATCTTCCCCTGGATCCAACGGGGTCCAGAGTAGGAGCGAATCCAAACTGAATTTCCTATGGTGAACTTACTCTTTGTTGCATGTGGCGTTGTTGAGGTAGGAAACAATGCAGATAAGATGGTTCTCGGCTGTCGACCATGCAACATTTCCGCAGGTGATTTACTATTTCTAGGATTCGGTGTACTTCGATATGTAGCCAGATACGTGTACAATGCTCTTTCCGCGTTGCCTTCTTCCATCATAATCTTTTTGAATGCTTGCTTGAATGTGCGTACATACCTTTCCGCCAATCCATTTGATGAAGGATGGAACGGTGCTGTGGTAAGATGATCAATGCTATTGTTCTTACAAAACTGTTTGAATTCCGATGATGTGAACTGTGCTCCGTTATCAGTGACGATAGTATTCGGCAGGCCTTCCACCGACAGAATTCGCTGGAGTACTGCTATGGTGGTCATCGTAGTTGCTGCTGATAGCTTCACGGTATATGGGAAATTGGAATATGCGTCGACGATAATAAGCCACATGTGATTGTAAATGGCCCTGCAAAATCCAAATGTATCCTCTCCCAAGGTTTTGTGGGCTGAGGCCAAGGGGAAAATTCCCGCTTTGGATGACTTGCATTGGCTTGGCAAATACTACACTCATTATGCATCTTGTCTATTTCCGCGTCTATACCTGTAAACCACACGTATCGTCTTGCCATTTGTTTCATACGACCCTTGCCCCAGTGCCCATCGTGCAGCATAGCGAGTACTTTCCTATATGTAGCAGCAGGTAATACAACTCTGGTATAATCTGTTTGAACCATTACTACTCCATTGTGTACTGATAAACAAAGTTTTCGCTTATAAAATTCATCAAGTTTAGCTTGGTTTGGCAAGTTCTGAGGCCAGCCTTCTAGTATATATTTCTTAACTAGCTTAAGGGTACTGTCTTCCTCGGTAAGCTTTTTCAAGAGTTCTGCGTTCAGAGTTGAATCTTCCAGTGCCGCCTGATATACAGCATCCACCCCGAGTAAGTTGCTTTCTTTTTCATCGAAATCGTAGTCATCTCCAACTGGCAACCTGGAGAGAGCGTCTGCGGTAGCGTTGTCCGCAGACTTTTTGAAGTGAATTGTGTAGTCATATGCTTGAAGTACGATGGCCCAGCGTTGAAGTCGGTGAAGCACCATAACAGGTAGCCTTTTTGACGGATTGAAAAGTGTAGTAAGTGCTTGATGGTCTGTAATGAGCTCAAAATGCCGACCGTAAAGATAGTGGTGGAATTTTGTAACACCGTATATGATGGCCAACGCTTCCTTTTCGATTTGAGAGTAGCGTGCTTGGCTGCTGTTGAGTGTTTTAGAGGCGTGCGCGATAGGCTTTTCAATACCGTCTGTATATCGGTGCGAAATTACGGCTCCGATTCCATACTTAGAAGCATCAACTGCTAAAATAATAGGTAGTCTGTCATCGTAGTGAACAAGTTGTGTGCTGGCTACGATAGCATTTTTTAACTTCTGAAATGAATTTTCTTCCAGTCGCCCCCATCTATATTCAACATTTTTACGTCTAAGTCTGTTTAAAGGCGCTGCAAGAGATGAAAAGTTACTGATGAATTTGTTGTAATAATTTACCTTGCCGATAAAAGATTCGATTTCTTTGATATTTTTCGGCGCAGGCATACGTTTAATTGCGTCGACTCGCTTTTCTGATGGCATTATTCCTGTAGCGTTGATGATATGCCCGACGTACTCGACTTGCTTTTCCGCAAAATTACACTTTTCCACCCTGCATGTAAGACCGTGAAAGCTTAAACGCTTAAAAATTTCTTCTACATTACGGATGTGCTCGTCGTTATCTTGGCCGGTGACGATAATGTCATCCAAATAAACGGCACAATGCGGAACACCAGCGATGACTTCTTCCATAAAACGTTGGAAAATTCCAGGCGCACTAGCCATTCCGAAAGGCATGCGCTGAAATTGAAATAATCCAAATGGAGTATTGATAACCGTAAATTTTTTCGCCTCGTCGGTTAAATTTACTTGCAAATATGCGTCGCTTAGATCGATTTTTGTGAAATATTTACCACCTTGTAGCTTATGGAACAACTCTTCTATTCTGGGTATCGGGTACCGGTCGTTTTGGATTTGGGAATTCAAAGCGACTTTGAAATCAGCACAAATTCGAAATTTACCGTTTGGCTTTCGCACAACTACGATTGGCGCTGCCCATTCACTCACGCGTATAGGTTTCAACACTTCAGCTTTAACAAGTCGCTCAATTTCAGCTTTCACATCAGCGTGAAGAGCAAATGGTAAATTGTAAGGCTTAAAGAATTTCGGTTTTGCCTTAGGCTGAATAGTGATATTTGCCTTAAACGTTTTTCAGTTTCCCAGCTTTGATAAGAATATTTCCGGGTGCTGGTTAACACACTGCCTGAGAGAAACGCGCAAATTTAGCTGTGATGCCTCTTCCGTGAACGAACAAGTATTACACACGTTACCAGAAATTTCGTTATCTTGTAAGTCTACCTGAAATTTCAGCATTTTAAACCAGTCTAGCCCAAGAATATTGGTTGCGCGTTCAGATTTTACAACAAGCAGTGGTAAGGATTTGATCGTATCTCTCCATTTAGCTTTCACATTAGTTGTTCCTACAAGGGGTAAAACGTTCCCACCGTACGCCTTCAGAATTTTGTTAGTGGGTTCACATCTCGGTTCGCCTAATATGCGGTATGTAGGGAGGCCTATGAGCAAGCACGTAGCACCTGTGTCTACTTGAAATTCCAACGTTCTGTCATTGATGTCTATGTTTAGTAGAATTTTATCAGCAGCCGTATTTGCTAACGATACCTCGGCGACGCCTATACTCTCGAAAAGCGTATTACTCACCACGTTCACATTGTCTGCATTCTCTTTTTTCGACTTGGGGTGGTCGATCGTGCCGAAGAATGCGATACAGACACTAAAGCAATATGCCCTACCTTACCGCAGGACCGACATTTCGTTTTGTTCTTGTAATGGAAACAGTTCCCTCTGTTGTGTGCAGATCCACAACTAGGGCAAGACTTCCCGCTGACTGACGAGCTTCGCGATTTACTTCGTCCTCCGTTCCGCTTCTTTTCAAGTTGTTTTGATCGGTGAATGGCATTTACGGCTGGTGCGTCCCCCTCACCCTTAATCTCCAAGCACGTTTTGATTGTCGACTCGTACACTGTAGTTATTTGCAATACTTCATCTAATGTAGGGTTAGGCTTTTGGAGAGCTGCACTTCGCACTTTATCATGTGGTGTATGCATGATAATCATATCCCTTATGTTACTATCGAGAAAAGATTTACGGCACCCATCTGCAGCGCATTCGAACATGCACTCTCTCGCAGCACCACGCAACTCAGCCACCCATTCGACATAAGTTTGACTGGGCTTCATTCTAATTGAATAAAACTTAAATCGGGCCGCCAGAATATGCTGCTTTTCAATAAAGTGACTATCTAGAAGCGATTTTACCTCACTGAAGGACTTCCCTTCCAAGTTATTGTCGCTTAGCTTTTGTAGCAGCTCGAACGTTTCCGTACCGATCCAGGACAGAAGACTCGCGCGTTTCATAGTGTCCTCTGTGACATTGTTGGCAATGAAATGATGTTCTAATTGCTGGACATATGTAGACCATTTTTCTACATTTTTGTTGAAGCTTCTAAAGACCGGCGCAGTACTTGAGTGGCAGTCAGTGCCTAGCACGCGCTGCAACGATGCCAAGTTTTGTTGCAAGATTTTTTCAAGAAATTCTTTGTTCGATTCCTGAAATTTTACCAACAGCGAAGATAGCGTCCTTTCGTCCATTTTCTCGTCGCCAATGTTAAATTTCTGATGCAATTAGAACGAGATGTTTCTGGATTTCAATAATTCATGTATTTTAATTCTAAGTTACAAGAAAATGTGTGTGTCTCACAAACGAAGGAGAAGGTCAGGTCAAAAGGAAAACAGTGATCAAGTGACAGTGTGACTAGTGTTACCAGATCCAACTAAATTGTTAGTAAACTACTGCATGGTAGTCTTTGCAAAATCAATACATTCCTACAAAAATAATGTAACATTTTAAGAAACGAACACAAAATTTTCTCACCCTTTGCCTTCAATTAAGAATCGAACACAAAAAGAGAAAGCGTCAATCAAATGGCGAAATTAGCAAATTAGACAAAACCTATCACATCTGGTTTGGCTTCTAAGCGCTGTTTAAACAACGATCCCGCCATTATGCTAAATTCTAATTGTTTCTTAAAAATACTTAACATCCGCATTCGCATCCGCGGATGTTAGCTGTTAGATATTCGTATCCGCGAATGTCTAAAATTTCACATTCGCAACATCCCTAGTACAAACACAGGGTTGCATATCTCATATTTAAATAGCCAATATTGGCCATTTAAGTGCAGATTTAATGTATAATCTGAAAATGAATAGTGGAAGTTAATCAACAATCTCTACTTAAGTAGGCCATCTGAAATAAATTGGGCCTAAATGTCTTATTATGGATCGCAATGGTGCTGATGGTTGATTTAACGGTGGTCATATGAGGTTTACCCCTGGATAACCCAGTCCTGATATCTCCAAATGAAGCTTTAACGCACAGTAATATTGGCAATTCACGTCCAAAGGGCCAATAGGAACACAAGGGAGTTCGACATACTTGGTGGTACAGCACGTCGATGCAATCGGACAATCATGGCACATTTTCTCACTTGACAATGTTTAGGGTGATATTATCACTTGCGAAGCGAACGGATCGGCGAAGCGAATTAAAAGGCAGAGAAGCTATTAAAAGTGTCCGCGATGCAAAGAACTTGCACAAGCTGGTAAAAGCGAACACTCTTAATGCATATTTAAGTTGCGTTCGCCAATACATTCGTTTCGCCAAACCGTTCGCTTCGCCATATTCAACTCCTCAACTCAACTCCAGCACCACCCGGCGGTGTTTTTTTGCAATAGTATTGCCCTTACCGTTACCAATATATAAGTATCTCGAATATAAGCCAGATCGGATCATAACAAAGATTTTTAGTTTAGTAATAACACGATTCCAGCGCCACCTGGCGGGTCAAACTGAGAACATGAACTATCCAGAGACCTACTCAAGCACACGCAAAAAATTTCGTTAAAATCGGTTCGCTTACAAACACACGAACAGAAGAATTATATGTACATTAGGGATGTTATTTTTTCGGCTTTTTCCGATCTCGGCTTTTTCACAATCCCGGGATCCCGGGATTAGTCCCGGAATTTAGATATTCATTACTTTTCAACAACTTGAATCGAAAAAATTGCTTCTATATGATTTGAGAAGCTCTCCTACCATAAAATAAATAATAATAAATGGGTTCGAAACCTACTTTTTTATTTAAAGTGGCGTTTTTATTTTTTCTCTCTGATCGCAGGATTTATTTGACTTTGTAATTTCAAAGATATTATTAATTCCAAAAATTGTTAAAAAAGTTCAATGCAATGTAGAATAAAAATATGAGTAACAAATGCAATAGGAAATTTCTTTAGAATTAAAAAAATTTAAATTTTTTGGGATCACAAGGACGAATAGGTAATTTTTAAGCTGACAAAGTTAGAAGAACGAAGCTCGAGCATGTTATCGAGTTTATATAAGCCCTTAACATATAATTTTTTACAACCTTTTTCGACAAATGAATGTCATTTAGTAAAAATTGGAGAAATGCTTTTGAATAGTATCCAATATGAAGCTCGAGCAGTGAAGAGAACAAGCGCAGTTGTAAATTTGGGCATACAATAGGTAACCATAACCTGGAACAGGTATACAATTTTGTGGACCTTGGTATCACAATGGATCCTAAGCTTAAATTTAATCTTCATATTAATGTGACAGTCAACAAGGCTAAAGGTGTACTTGCAAAAGAATTTTGTGACCCTTATATCACTAAAACCCTGTTTACAACATTAGTTAGGCCAATTCTGGAATACGGTTCGGTGGTTTGGAATCCAAGGTATCAAATTTACTCAGACAAAATAGAGTCAATTCAAAAACAATTCCTACGTTTTGCTTTAAGAAATTTCCGTTGGGATTCTCAATATAACCTTCCACCTTATACGAGCCGATTAAAACTTATTAATCTGCCTACACTTTCCAGCCCCAGGCAAATGCTTGGTACAATTTTTATAGTTAAATTACTAACAGGCTCAATTTCAAGTCCGCTTCTTCTTGACGAAGTTAGCCTTAATGTTCCCTCCCGGGTGTCAAGACACTTTTTCCCCCTATTTCTGAAAGCTTGTAAAACTAATTTTGAATTGCACGACCCACTCCGTTGCTTATGCCAGGATTTTAACTCTCATTCCAGCACGTTTGATATATCAGATCCGCTTTTCAGCATTAAAAAATCAATACTGTCTTCTCTCAATAAATGAATCATTAAAATAAAGACATAAAATCGGCTGATGAATTTAGTTCTGTAGCTGATCAGGTTTAGATCTCGTGACTCGGCGCAAAAATTGAAAATACTGGTTCCGTACGTAATGCGGACTGCGCCCCTCGTGCGGATGGGCGGGAATGGAGGGTAAAAACCGTTGGGATATTATTATAAAAAAAAAAATAAATAAAAAATAAAATTGATATTAACCCAGCTCCTTCACTTCCAACGTTTTCCACATTACCGTTTCTGGTAAATTTTTTTAATACCCTTTTCCCATTTCTTCCTGAATATTCATCCCCACTATTTATTAGCCTCTTATTTTTCATATCATTCCAATTTTCGAAATGTACTTTACGTTTTTTACCATTATTGCACGTTTGCACTACGCTTGTTAAATCTAAATTGGCCATGGTCACCTGCACTTTAAACGTTTTTCCACTCATTACTTATTTTGGAGCGTAGGTTAATGTCCGAAAACTGATGGAAATTGAGAAATTTCGCGACCTTATGATACGCGAGAGTATTTTTAGCGGTAATCTGCGAAAAAAATTGTTTTGAGTAAATTGGCGCTTGCAACGTTATTCGCGGCGACCATTCAAATTAGGGATGTGCCGGGTATCCGATAGATATCCGGAATCCGGCCTATCCGGCCGTTTTTTGGTTATCCGGTTATCCGGCCGGATACTGGCTAATATCCGGCCGGATTCCGGATATCGATTATAGAAGATTCAATCTAGAAATTTAACCCAGATTTTGTATTTTTGTAATCCAATTTAATAGTATCTAATTAGTAATCAAAGCTAAAAATTTTTATATTAGTAGTTTTGACTTTCATCAAATTTGATAGTCGTTTGACATGTGCTGTTGTGGACCGTGTAAAGTGCTGTTTGATCAACTTGATAAACAAATTGAAAGAACAAGTGCCCGAAAATTTAAATAAAAACAAGAAATGAGCAAGAAAAGAAAATAATTCGACTTCATTTTAGAACTAATAAATTATTTCAAAAATCTCCAAAACCTTTTTTGTGGTGATACAACTTCAACAAAAACTGAAATTTTATGGGTTATTAGACGTGTTTAAGTCAAACCATCTAATTACACTGACATATCTGTGCACAATAATTTAAATAAAAACAGAATAAGAAAAAGAATACGACTTAGTATTAGTATTAACAAATGAATACAAAGCTTACTTAAGCTTCTCTTCAACTTCATCCAAAACGAAAAACAGAAATTTGATGGGTTTTTTGAAGCGTGTAAGTTAAACCATCTAATTACACAGAAGATAGTTTGATCAAACAATGTGACCATGTAAGGTCCATATAAGGCATCAACACACATGTGCGATTCTGTTCCGAAAAAATTACAACAATGCCGCAACTATTTATTGGAACATTCACAGCTCTTCATTTCGTCGTGCCGAAATTGCGGACCTACGCGTTCGGAAACGAAAAAGGTTAATAGGCGGGTTCTGTATAATTTAAACAAAAATTAAAGTAAGAAAACAAAACATCTTGATTGTTCAAAAGCAAAGACTTTGATGCAGATTGTTTTATGTTTGTTTATAAGATGCCATTTTTCACTGCGATAGCATCGCACAGATGTGTGCGTAATTGTGTTTTCGAAGTGGTAAATTCTGCAGCATCAGAAACGGTGCGGAGGTCGAGGTGAACTCGAGCCGGCAAAAAAACAATATTGTGAAATTTATTAAGGGCAGCAGTCTACCGCAGTGCTCGTCAAAGTGGTGGTCCGCGGACCGGTGCCGGTCCGTAAGCCATAAGTCGCCGGTCCGCAAAGGGCGTCGCGAAATGGACAACGATTTTTTAAACGATTATATATACATATACGACTATATGTATACTCCACACTTCTAACCATGGTACAATTATCTACATGGTAGTAGCACTAGAAATTTCACGTCCGAGATGTCAAAATATTAAGTCAAAACACAAGCGAACACACAAACGAACAAAGCAAAGTAACCTAGTTTGACATCTC